AAAAAAAAAAAAAAAAAAGGTGATCATGGTAAATACTGTGCTGGGTATGCTACTGCAACTCTTCTCGATGTTTTTGAGGCAGCATCTTTACCAATGGCTGCTTCAGCTCCAAAGTCTGAATTATATGATCTTACACAAGCTCATACTTTACCCAAGTACAAAACCGACAAAATTTATACTGATAGTAGATACAGTTTTGGAGAAGATCATGATTTTGGAATGTTGTGGAAGCAACATGGCTTGCTAACTTTCAGTAGAGATAAAATTTAAAATGGCTTCTATGTTCAAATATTAGTGAATGAAGTACTTTTACCTGCCACTTATTATTAAAATTCCAGGGCATTCGTAACTTGACTCCCTGGAAGCTAAAGGAAATTACCTTGCTGACAGTTCTACAAGGAACGCTGCCCTTAAAGGAATCAAAAGCAGTCAAACTTCTGTCATGATACAAAGGAGTTTTTCCCCAAATGATAACTTAGAAAAACTGGCTGGAGAAGCCCAACAATTGGTCTCAGAAAAGAAAAAAGACTGGGAATTAAAGTCCTTGTTTGATAAAAAGAGAAAGCTCTGATTCAGATCAAATAACAACTCAGTCCTACTAGAGATTCCAAAATTTATACTCCTAACCATTGTACATGCATTAGATCATTGGTCTACTGACAAAATTCTAGCTTTCATGAATCAATATTGGTGGGGAAACATTCACAAAGTTGCAAAAAGTGCCTACCTCACTTGCCCCACTAATCCAAAGGACAACCCAGGGAAGCCTGTTCTTACTGTTTCCAAGCATTTTAGACTGTCTAAGGGACCATGCACGGTCTGGCAATTGGATTCAATACAACTTTCTCCATCTCAGGGATATAAATATGCTTTGGTCATGGTGTGAATGTTTTCACACTGGACTTAAGCCTCCCCTTGCAGACAGGCTACTGCTTCTTCTGTGGCTGGTCTTTCTGGAAAATATTATCCCTACCTGGGGAAATCCTCCCACAATTCATAATGATCAAGGGACCCATTTTACTGGTCAGATACTTTGATATGCTTTAGAGCTGTTTGGCCAGTTTTATACTTTCACTGCATTTAGCATCCTCAATCCTCTGGTCTAGTCAAATGCACTAATGGAATTATTAAAATTCAATTGGCAAAATTTGCATGGGCCCTCCATATATGTTGGCCAAAAGCACTGCCACTGACCCTTCTAAATCTTATATCCATCCCTTGTGGAATTCAAACTCTCACCCTTTGAGATAGTCACAGGACACTCAATGCACTTGGCTCCTGCACTATTTAACCTTTCTGGCACTGAGGGACAAAAAGTCACTGAAACCAGAAAACCTGAGTCTTAACCCACACTGCTTTCAGAGAAAGATCATCTGGAGAACATGCTCAGTCGTGTCCGACTCTGCGACCCCACGGACTATAGCCCACCAGCTATAGCTACTCTGTCTGGATTTCCCAAGCAAGAATACTGGAGTGGGTTGCAATTTCCTTCTCCCGGGGATCTTCCCGACCCAGGGATTGAACCCATGTCTCCTGTGTCTCCTGCATTGCAGGTAGATTCTTCACTTGCTGAGCCATCAGGGAAGCCCTTTCAGCGAAAGATCAAGATCAAAAGGAGGAAATGTAAAAATTAATAAAAATCACAATTAGAATAGGAGGTCAGAAAGAGGAGCTCTCACACCCTATGACAACAGCAGAGCCCAACAGGAAGACTTCCATTTCTTGCCTGGCAAGAGCGCAGCCAGTGAGAGATTGCCACAACTCAACAATGAGAGATTGCCACAACTCAGCCAATGAAAAGCCACTATACTTCAAGCTCTAAATTCCCCCAATAGAGTCTTTTGTTTAGTATAGCCCACCCAACTACCTTTCCCCCTCCTTGCTGTGAGGGGTACTTGTGTGTGACTTGCCATGATTACAGACCCCAAACTGTAATTCTTTGTTGATCCTGAATAAACCTATTTTTGCTTGAAAAATAACTGGCAGTCTATATGTGTTAGATTAATACTATTAATAACGGGGGAAAACAGATTGCAGGGTATAATGCGAACTCTTTGTACTATCTTTGTAACTTTTCTGTATATCTAAAACTGTTCTTAAAAAAGTTTATTTTAAAGTTGACTTAAGGAGTACAATACAGTTTGTCCGGAAAAGATGGAATAGGCCCGGAGCTGTGGTAGTTTCTCTGGCCCCTGAAAATCTCACTCACACAGCTGGTGAGACCTTTAATACACAGACTCTGAAACTAGACCACCTGGGTTTGAATTCTGGGCATTACCACTTACTAAATGGGTAAATTTGGGCAAATTACTTAACCTTTTTGTGAATGATGGCCCCTACTTTTTGCCACGTTATTAGTATTAAATGAGTTTAGTATGTATAGATTGCTTAAATGAGTGCCGGCACACTGTAAGTTCTATGTAGGTACTTTGTAAATTTAAAAACGTGATGACTAAAAATTCATTTAGCAATTAGCTATATAATCAGACCTGGTAGGGAGATATGAGTTTGGCTGCTATAAACCAAGCAGTGGTTACCATGGATATGTCAGAACCTTGACAGCCATTGTTAGGACATTGCATTACCTTTCATAAGGGGGCAACTGAGCTTTGTAACTCTGGCAAGAAGGCTAGAAGGGGCAACACATCTTCCTATTATTCTACCCATTTTAAGTCTTTCTCTCAAAAGAACCAACTTATAATCAGATACATAATTAACCACCTCAAGGTAAGCAAAATATATCATTATCTTCATTCTGTAGATAAGAATTCTGAAAATGGTAGGTTTAATTTAGGTGATTTCATCCTAGAGTACCCAGGAGAGGTGCTGGAAGTGAAAGGACCTGATAATCCCTAGTCCAATTATTTTCCTTCTTGGTTATCCTACTTATCCTTCTTTAAGATATGTTCTTAAGGAAGAATTTGTGTGATGCCAGTTGGACCTTTGAAGTCTTAAGAGCCTCTCTAGGTACAGCAGAGCTTCTGTATACCTGTGTGCTAAGGGTGACTGAGACTATGGGCCCAAGAAGTCCCAAGTTCCTGGGCTGAAGTCTTCTCTTTTTGTCACAGGAACCTTGTTCAGTCATCAAAGACCTCCAAAGAAGGAGCCATCAACCTATAGTTGATGGCCTGCACTGGCTGTTATCTGCCATTAGAGAGAAATATGAAGAGCTGTGTGCTCACCAACAGCCACTGCCACCAACCATCACAGCCTCCAGAGGCACTAGAGGATTTGAGGAAAGATCCCCAGCAGACAGGTGCCGAGTTGCCTCTGTTAGGTGTACTGATAAGAATAGATGCGGGAGTTAATCTTCAACATAAGCAGGGAGTTCTGGGAGGAGCATGAATTCTGTGAGGTGCTGAGCAAGTCTCTCAAGATCAGTTGGCCCAAATGGGGTGAAGGCAGTGACCACAAACATCCCAACACTGTTAGGTACATCCTTCCCTAGGCACAATTTGAGTGGGATGAGTTAAATCATCAGTAGTAGAATTTCTCCAAAACAGGGTTTCTATTCTCTGGTTTGTTACATAGAGGAGAAAAGGAACATAAACCCCTTAAGGAGCTTATTGGCAATATTCTATAGATAAACTATCCTGGAGCTGCTCCACATTCTCCACTTCCCATTCTCTGATCATTTCAATAATATAGCAAGGTGGGAGAGAACAGGAATATAGAAAAGAAAAAGAAACAGGAGGTGATCAAAGTTTCGAGGAATAAAAAGACTAAATGTCCTCTTCCTCTTTTGTTCCTCTAATTGTCCGAAGACACTTGGCAGGGATGGGGGGGATAGTTGAATTTGATTAAGGAGCTTGCATCTGTTTTCACTATGGCTTTATCCTCTTTATCTTCTCCAGCTTTGCTACCCAGATGGGAATGTCCAAAGAAAATAGACAGCATGTAGGACAACATGCTGAAGTCAATTTGAAGTCAATCCTGCTAGTAAGTGACTCATTAAATGTTATTGCCTCAGGGACCAATCTCTGAACTCTTTGAGCACTAATTGACTTTCTCCTCCATCTTCCTGCTATACAGAAAGAAGGTGTCAGAATAAGACCCAAGAAGAACTATCAGTAACCTTTGCTTTAGATGAACCCATGGAGGAAGGTGAATATTCTGGGGGAAATGGATCTCATATCACCGCTGGAATGCATAACACCACTGGAGCTGGTAACACTGCTGGAGCTCATAACACCACTGGGGCTTGTATCACCGCTGGAGCTCGTAACACCCCCGAACTTCACTATGCTCCAAGTGATGACTTTCAGCCCCCAGCCCCATACACTGAGGACGATCTTTTTGAAGGTAAGGCTGGATCATTGATTAGTTAGGGTAGAAAAGATATAAAGGCCTTTCCTCACAATTTAAAGTGGGGAGTTTTGAGCCCAAAACTCTTTTTTCATGCTATGGTTGGTGATCAGGAGAGAAGCAGATGAAGTGCTTGGAGAGTACCATCTGGCAGCCCAGCTCCAAGATCTTTGTTTGGATGGCTGTAGGGTTATCTTAAAGGTTATGATTTCCAGTGGTAGAAGTACAAATTGGTACAATCTTTAGAGTAGTTTGGTTGTCTGTCTCCCTTCTACTCTCCATCTCTCTCTGTACATGTGTGTATGTGTGTGTGTGCGTGTGTATACACGCTCAGTTATGTCCAACTCTTTGCAACCCCATGGACTGTAACCTGCAAGGCTCCTCTGTATATGGGATTTCCCAGGCAAGAATACTGGCATGGGTAGCCATTTCCTACTCCAGGGGATTTTCCCGACCCAAGGATTGAACCTGTGTCTCTTGTGTCATACACACACACACACACCCATATCTTGGAGAAGGAAATGGCAACCCACTCTAGTATCCGTGCCTGGGAAATTCCATGGACAAAGGAGCCTGGTGGGCTATAGTCCATGGGATCACAAAAGAGTGGGACATAACTTAGCAACTGAACAACAAGAACAGTGCGTGTGTGTGTGTGTGTCTGTGTGTATATATATATATATATATATAGAGAGAGAGAGAGAGAGTGAGAGAGAGTGAGAGAGAGAACTTTAAAATTGTGGAGACCATATGAGCCAATCATTTTATGTCTTGAATTGTAGCCAAAGATAATTACACAAGTACACAAAAAAGAATGCTCACAGTTGTTCAATCATAGCATTGTGCCTAACAGCTAAAAGCTGGAAACAAGCTAAAGGTCTAACAATGGTGAATGGCTAAATAAATTATGGTGCAGCAATACAATGGAATACTATGCAGACCTTAAAAGGGCTAATGTCAACAAATTGACTGGCATGGAAAGTTTTCCACAACCCAGTGTTTTGTTGGAGAAAATAGAAAGTCAGAGCACAACATGTACAGCATGATGTATGAATGTGCATAGACTATCTGGAGGGAAAATCACCAAACATGAGCAGTGGTTTTCTCTAAGGGTAAGATTCTAGGTGATTTTTAGAAGAGCCGAGGTACCTTTCTTAGGATTTTTGTATTATCAGAAATTTTTTAATAATCATATATGATTTCTCCCAATATACTAAAGGCACTAAAAAAAGAAAGCTGTGAGGATTTAAAGGCCCATTGTTGTTAATGGCTACTCCATCTCAAATGTTCCTTGGCCCCAGTTTTCATGACGGTAAACTGTCGATTTTATAATGTCACCTTTGCTCTCCAAAGAATCTGGCCCTTCAGGCTACCTCAGAGCCTTGGGTTGTTACACCTACACAGAGGGGCCTGGACAGGAACACTGAGGACAGAGGCGCTGCTCTGGTAAAGAGGATGAGAGCTGAGTGGCAGGAATCCTGCAGAAGAGTGGAAGAAGTATCTTTCTAAATGTCTGATTCTACTCCTAAGTCTCTGTCCAAAATTAAAACCCATTTTTCATTTCTATAACCTCAGAGCCAAGGGCCAAAAGGAGAATGGACACCTGGGACTCAGAGGAGATGTTACTGGACAATCCCTGATGAAGCCTTTGGAGCCTGTGGTTAGTATTCCTTAGGTGAAGGGAAGAGAACAAGAGGGAGAGCAAGTATGAGGTCAGGGCAGAGGGGGACACCTGGTGGGATGCAATCTACACCCCTTGGAAAGTAGGCAACACCCTCCTCACCTGGAAGGACAGGAAGCCTGGTGCCTAGCTTTGCTTGCAGTAACTGCCTATTTTCTTTCTCTTTTAGCAGAATTTTAACAGAAAGCTAAAGAGAAAAATGAAGGAACATCAAAAGAAACATCTCATATCCCTCCTTTAGTAAATGGATTCATCTGCAGAACCATTAAGATTTTTCAGTTTTCAAATTTGTCTGTTAATACCTCTACAGTCCCCCTATAATTCCACCTACTCTAACATAATATCCCTTAGAACTCCCATTGTGCCCATACATCAATCTTTGAGCCATCAAATGAATCTTATCCCCACCAAGAGGCTCAAAAATAGTTAAGGGGAATGAATAGCTTGAGAATAGTTTGAAATAGTTTAAGAATGAAGACAACCTTGGCAAAGATTAGATCTTTGTACCCAGATGCTCCTGATGAAGTCTGTGAGCAACATATCAAGGGTAATCAACTACAATTGAGTCTTAGAAGTACAGGGTCAGTTTAGAACTATATTTTCTCCCCTTGTGTTCTTGGGTGGAAGGGGACTGGCATAAATAAATTATTCTGCTGAGAATTATGCTCTACGGAATCATTTTCAGTCACGCCTCCGAAAACAACTCGGTTTTAAATTCCGAGCCACTGTCTGTGAAGCCTGGCAACAATTCTTTTGCTGTCCCTTCAGGAATAGCAAGTGATGTCTCTCCTAACATTTAGGTTAGGTGTGCAAAAACTGCATGAGCTTAAAAACATTCAATTGTCCATCCCAGAGAGGGCAGTGTTAGTGTTGGGAATTCACTATGATTACAGCTGCTACTTTCACCATCAGTACCACAGCCCCCATTTCCTGAGTGCCTTCTGGTTGTCAGACACCGCACGAAGCTCTTCATGTTCATTATTTTATTCACAAAAACCCATGATTGTGGCAGCATATTTGTTTTTGTTTTACAGATGAAGAAATTAAGAGGTAGAGAAAAATAACTTATCCAAGGTCCCAGAGGCTGTAAGATGCAGAACAAGGAACCAAATCCAGATCTGACTCTAAAGCTACTTTAGGCCAGAAAGATCTTATGCTTTTCTCAAACTTTACCAAGAAGAGAAAGCTACATCCAGGGAAAATGCTAAAGCTTCATCATGCCCATGTTAGAAGAATTAGGTTGACTGCAGTAAGCATACTGATGGTAGTGGCAAACCCAGGTGAGTGAGCACTTCCATTCTGCCAGACACTAGGCTAAGTGGTTTACGTACATTACTGCCTTTCATCTTCACAAGCCTATGAGGTCAGTTCTACTACCATCATCTTACAGAGGCAGAAACTGATGTTTAAAGAGGTCAAATAATTCGTCCCAAGGCACCCATTAGGAAATGACAGAACTGCTCTTCAGACTAAACCAAGTTCCAACTCCATAACTCATGGTCTTAACTCCTACCCTATATGGTCTCACCAGGAAGTATAAACCAACTAGCCTATAATTGTTTCTGAGAGAGAGAAACCTGGCACATAATAAGCATCAGTCTCACAACCCCATCTGGAGCGCCAGACACTGTCTAAGGCTGCATCATTTGCTGTTATGCATTGCATATGGCCTTATGTCAAAGGGGACCACCTCAGGCACTTTGTGGGTCTTTGACAGGATTCTAAGGTTCGGCTTATTAGTCATGGCACTGGAAGCAATCTTAAAGAACCTCTAGTCCAATCCCAATTGTTATACAGATTAGGTATTTGGTACAGAGAGGTTAAATGACTTGCTGAAGACTGTAGAGCTGATCACTGACAGACATGCTCCTAAAATCCAGATCTCCTATGTGCCTGAGCCAGTGTGCTATCTTCCCTGCCCCAATATACTACACCCTCTCTGGGTCTTCTCTGGGCACTCTTGACCCACCTGTACTTGTGCTTGCATAGTTGCTAAGTTGCTTCAGTCATGTCCAACTCTGTGCGACCCTATGGACTACAGCCCACCAGGCTCCTCTGTCCATGGGATTCTCTGGGGAAGACTACTGGAGTTGGTTGCCATGCCATCTTCCAGGGGATCTTCCCAACCCAGGTATCGAACCCACAACTCTTCCATCTCCTGAATTGGGAGGTGGGTTCTTTACCACTAGCACCACCTGGGAAGCCCCTCTTGACCCCACCTACATTCTTCCAATTTGTCCAATAAATATCACTGAAGGATTCTGCTGACAATCATTCCAACCCAGGGATGTAGCAAAAGTCTCTACTGAAGAGGAGTTTATCAGACAGGAGACTATAATTCAACAAACCAAGGTTCTTCACTCACACTGCTCTTTACAGCATTATGTCTTAGGCAGGCATACTTTCTCAGCCAAGAGGGAAAGAAAGTATGGCTAAAAGGGATTAGGAGTGCTATCTATGAATACGAGCAGGGTGAAGAATTTAGGTTGAAACAACCTCTGACAAAAGTGAATTTCAGTATATTGGCATACTTTCCTTTCTACAATATACATGTTCCTGGGTGTCAACCAAATTTTCCTACAGAAAGTCTATTAATCAAAAATATTTAAAGAATATCCCCTCAATACAGCCAGGAAAACCTTATTTATTTTGAGTGAATAATTTGGTTGCTGCAGGGTGTTACCACACTCTCCAAACCCTTTATCAAGCTGGATGACCTGGCAATAACCCCCAGTGAAGACAAGAAGAAGAGCACATACCTCACAGGCTTGTTTTGAGGATCAAAGAGGACAAGCCAGGGCCAAAATGCTAGGCAGGGTGCCTGGCACATAATAAGTAGCTCATGAAATGTTACCTACTATTATTATGATTAGGGGAGGATTTTAGATCATCAGATAGCTATACTTCCATACTGGGAGAAGTATCCTCCTTTCTGCAAAGAATAACCCAAGGAGAGGTGTCTTAGATTCTAAAGTACAAACAGTATAGAGAATCTAGGGTAATTATAGCGCTTCCCTGGTGGCACAGCTGATAAAGAATCCACCTGCAATGCAGGAGACCCCGGTTTGATTCCTGGGTTGGGAAGATCCCCTGGAGAAAGGATAGGCTATCCACTCCAAAGGATAGGCTATCATGGGCTTCCCTGGTGGCTCAGACAGTAAAGAATCCACCTGCAAGACCTGGGTTTGATCCCTGGGTTGGGAAGAACTCCTGGAGAAGGGCATGGCAAGTTACTCCAGCATTCTTGCCTGGAGAATCCCCATGAACAGAGGAGCCTGATGGGCAACAGTCCATGGGGTCACAAAGAGTCAGACATGACTGAGCGACAACACAGGGTGATTATGACCACTGCCAACCACCACTTTCCAGAGCCTCCTCTTTGAGAATCCTAAAATCTGCCCAAAAAAAAAAAAAAAAGGTCTTACAAACCTGTCTCAGTGTGTCAGCCCAAGGACCAAGATTAATGAGAGCTTCTTGAGCCTTGGGGGCAAATTTTCTTTCAGGCAAGTGGTTGCCTTGGAGTTTCTCTCCTTTCATTGTCAAGGTCTTGGCCTGACTCCTCCAGGACTTGTAAAGTCTAGCTCCTGTCAGAGACACTTCAAATATATGACCCTAGCTCATCATTCAATGAGCCCTATGTGGCTCTGGGTACTTGTCCATTTCGTCTTGCAAGACAGGCCTGGACTTTTGGATTAGAGAATTCCATGTGTATATGTAGAGATGCTGTGTTCTGAATGGTTTTTACTCCTGAAATCTTGTCACCACTCTTCATACACTGTTACTACCCATCCTAGTGTGCAATCAGTAGGGTTGGTATCCAGTATGATCTGCAGAACATGGGTCAGAGATTCAGTACACTGTTAAGAGTTAAGGAAGAACTGTGGTGATTTAGGATTGGATATGGAAACCAAGAACAGGTAACCTAGTCACAAATCCCTGGGAAGTTTGAGCTTTTGGTGTTTGAACCATCCCAGTTGTGTTTCAAATATCACTCTTTCCTCCCAGTATCCTACTAAAACCACTCATCTTCAAGGCAGTTGCAACTGGCAAGACTTAAATACACCACTCAGGAGAATTTTGCCAACTAGCATTTTTAACTATAAAACACCATTGGCTATGGGTGGGATAGGGCTCAAGTTGGGATTCACTGCTTTGTCATTCACCCCTATGAACTCTTCACTGGATAGCCCAAACTTGGATTTCTGACAGGAAAGGGTGCAGAAAACAGGTGTTCTATCGCCCACCATCCCAACATCCCACTTCATTTTCACAGGTGCGCCTAAAAGAAATACAGCCATGGCATGTCTGACCCATGCCTATTCCTTTAACTATAATAATCCATCCTCCCACTCCCCTGGCTTTTTCTCTTTTATCAAGCCCTATGGGAAACACAGGTGGAGTTAATATCCCAGGGGAGAGAGAAAGCAGCAGAAACTTCCTGCTGTTGGGAGGGAGACAGTATCAGCTGAGGGTTGTGGGAGTCAGGGGGCTTGTACTTCCACTCTAGCGCTCCTGGAATGCCTGGCTCAGGTCCCAGGAACCCAGGAGGCTCTGCTGTCGGGTGGTGAGCAAAGCAATGTTAACAAAGTGCTCTGTTAACTGTGCTGGGTGATGATGACTCAAGAATCCCACACAATCCCACGCTCCTGCTAGTCACCACTTCCAGGAATTAAAATAGACCTCTGGTGCTAAGAGACAGCAGGCCTTTTATATCTGCTCAAAAAAAAAAATGAGCCCAGCCTTAAGGACTATCCTGCTATTTGATACAATGGAATATTACACAGCCATTGTGCACTGTGCAGGTGGGAACCAGAATGTGAAACAATGTTACACGAAAACAGCACAATAGGAAATAGGTACACATGCTGATCAGAACTATGGAAAAAACACATTGAAGAATTCATCCCTAAAGTACCAAAGAGAATGAAGAGCACCACAGTCCTTTGAGTTTCCACCCCTACCCCCAACAACACCTTGTATTATAATACACTTTTTAAAATTGTTGTGCTGGTCATGCTAGGTTACTAAGGCATCTGCCTTTTTAAATGACACAGGAGTTAACTCTGCAGATTATTTGATTCAGGGAATAAATAAGAATTGAATGCTAAGGGGGCTGATGCTTTAAAATGGGCTTCCCAGGTGGCACAGTGGTAAACAACCTGCCTGCCAATGCAGGAGACGAAAAGAGACATGGGTTTGATCCCTGGGTTCGGAAGATCCCCTGGAGTAGGAAATGGCAACCCACTCCGGTATTCTTGGCTGGGAAATTCC